AGAGAGAGAGAGAGAGAGAGAGAGAGAGAGAGAGAGACAGATAAACAGAGAGACGGGTTGGGGAAGAAGGCGGGGAAGGACGAAGAAAACGAGCGACAGTCTGACTCGGAACAAAGCACATGCACTTCACCCTCACGTCGCCACAGGGAGCAAGAAGTCGCGCTCTCAATAGAAGCTAGATAAACAAATTAACTTTTTTTTTGTTAGCTGCAGGGAGCTCGGCGGCAAGGAGCGAGTCCTGCGCTTAGACAAATTTTGCCATCTGGCTATGGCAGTAAATAATCCACTACAGCACGACCTTCAGGGGCCAGCAAGTCCCAGCCACAGAAGTGGCACAGGGACAAGGAGCAATAAACGTTGTTCAACACCTTAAAGGATGCCTAATCTTGGTGAGTGTTGCTGTTTGATAAAGAAAGCAAACACACTGTGGGTCGATCAGCACATGTCTTTGTTGCAAATCGAGGAATACCGATCACAAATTCGTGGCTCGAGGGAAGAGTAGCATTCGTTATTACAAAGTGTCGTAACTTTCGAAAAGGCAAGAAGTTTGGAAGTGAATATGACTTTATAAGCGCTGTTCCTTCTTTGTCTTGTCGCTATAAATCGACAGCAGCCCTCATATAGAAATCAGAGCACCGTTTGCTGTTTTTCCCTAATTCTGTGAAACGGGTAACCCCTTCTTTCATCAGCCCCCCCCCCCCCCCCGGCCTACATCTGTAAGTCTTGCCAATCAGTCTGCCGACTTACATCACGTCTGTCAAATTCTAAAAAGTCATACACATTACTCCTCGTCAGTCCTGAGCTGTATCGTGCCTCTTCCCATCACCGAAACTGTCTCCAATTACTCATATTACATGCATAAGATCCATTCTTATCCTTTAAAACTTTCCTCTTCTCCGAAGCATTCTATACATTTCTTTTTCTTAAACCGAAGACATAAATCCGATTACTTCAAAACTGACGCCAGCATTCCCTCTCAAACTAAACAGAGTATATTCTAAGACAGCTCATAGCTTCTTTTTTATGGCAAGAAATTAAATTTGTTGGCTCAAAGAGAAGCCTTTATACAAAGGGAAATAAGACTTGAAATAAAATTAGAAACCTTCTCTTACGATTTCTTTCTTTCTTTTTTTCTCTATCAAGTCCTCTTTTTGAGAACATTATCTTTGAAGTGAATGACATTTTGCAACAGCTTATTTATTATTATTTTTCTGTCACTGTCTTATCTTGCTCCAGTCAGTGTGAGCCGACTCTCATCACTCATATTGTCCTCCAGCCTGACAGCTTCTTCCCAAAACAGAGAGCGGAAAAACACAATATCAACATGCGTCAAACGACTCGTTCCAAAAAGAACGACAGTGATGTTTTGAGTTAAGATAGATTATAAAATCGTCAGGTGAGCAAGTGTCTATGGCGAAATGGTGAGCAGTAATCCAACTTATGATTCTGTGAGCAAAGATAGCTGGATGATTTCATTGCTAAACTATATCTCACGACGGGCATGGCTGCTTTATGTCATCATGGAGAGGGGAGGGAGGGAGGAGGGAGAGAGTAAGAGAAAGAGAGAGAGAGAGAGAGAGAGAGAGAAAGAGAGAGAGAGAGAGAGAGTGAAAGAAAGACAGAGAAAGAGAAAGATAGTGAAAGAAAGAGAGAGAGAAAGAGA